TGCTAACTCTGAACCTCATCTAGAGAATAGTGGGGTGTCAGAGGTCCTTGGGGTGGGCTGAGCTGCTGCCACATGTGTGTGGGAGTGTGTGAGTGTGTGAGTGTGTACATGGGTGAACTCCAGGCTGTTTGGCCCTGACCTCCCTCCAGCTCCTCTGTCCACAGGGCCTGCCCGACTACTCATTCACTCCACGAGCCAGGGACCACAGCGACGAACCTGTCAGACCCCTTAGCCAGGCATTAGAGACCTTGTGCCAGGCTCCTGTCCTAACCATTTCCCACAGTTCCACTTCAGTCCCCTTTCATAGGCATAGAGACACTATACTTAACATTCCCAGACACCCCAGAAAAGCCTGCATTGGCCTTGCTGGGTGGACTCTTTGGAACACCCTTCTCTCTAGCTCGACTGGATGACCCCTACCCAGAGTCCAAGGTCTAGGTCCTTTGCAAAGTAGAGTACAGTGATTAGGAGTGAGGGCTCTGGAGCCAGACGCCCTGGGATGAAGTCCCGCCTCTGTCATTTAGGATTTGCAAGGCATACCCCTGAGGCCTTAGTTTTCTCATCTGTGGACCCTGGAGAATACCCCCTGGGGTTGCTGTGAGATTGACTGAGATCCTGCATGGAAGTGCTTAGTACATGGCCTGGAACGCGGTGAGTTTGCCCCTGGCTCATGAGTACCTCAGCATGGGCTTGAGTCCTTCACCCGAAGTCCATTTTCCTGAGCACCCAAAATGTGCTGAGCGCCGAGGTGGAGGTGGGACGCAGGTAGATCCTGCCTACATGGGGTTCGCGGTCTAACAGAGGGGTCCGGAAGTGAACACGAAGCGATGACCAGCTCCTCTCTCTACACCACACGCCTCACAGTTCCCTGTGCATAGTCGGACCTCGGATTAGCGTTTACAGGAAGAAACCTTTACTGCGCATACTCAAATTAGGGTGGGTACTTTTACATTCCTTTTAATCATCCAGCGAGCGTTCAAGGTAAACATTCCAAATTCAGATGAGGATGCTGAGGCTCAGAGAGATTAAGTGACTTGCCCAAGCTCCCACAGCTAGTCAGTGACAAAGTTGGAACGCAAATCCAGGACTGCCTAATACTGAAGCTCCATTCTTTTGGGTGGGCCACGAAGATGCAGGGGAGGGAGCAGTGACCAGGAAGGAGGCAAGAAGGCAGCTGTTTTGGGAACCATCCCCCCAAGTCTGAGGTACAGGAACATCTCAGTGTCTCACTAACTAGCCCTGTCACTTAGAGGCCACCTGCCTCCTGCCTACCAGTTTCCAGCTTCACCTTCCGGAGGCAGCTGATGGGTGAATTCACAGCCAAGTGCGACATGGTAATTAATTCAATTTGATCAGTAGGGGAATTGAAGACTTCGCTTGTATTAACAACCTGAAGTTAACATGTAATTTATGTTAATTGCAGCCAAAGACATGCCTTTCCTCTCTACACTGAGGATCGCTCCTGTTAATAAGATCACATCACCCGAGGTAACGAGGAGCCTGGCAGGTGGTCTGCCGCATGGGTTGGGGGAAAGATGACTATGAAAGGAGCAAATCGGTGACAGCACAGAGGATGACAACATTTCAAGAGCCTCCCCTGGAGGGAGAAGCTTTAGAGAGCAAGGGGAGTCTGCAGCCACGCCCTGGACCTGTAGGGAGCACCTCAGAGGGTGTGTTGACCAGGACCCGGCACTGGGTTGGCTAACTGACCGCCATGCTCTCTGGCCTTTGCCACTGCCCGGGAGTGATATTAACCTCTTTTGCAAATGGAGAGATGGATGTCCAGCGAGACTGTGTCCTTGCCCAACCCAGGCTACCCAGCTGAGCAGAGGCGAGACTCAGACCCAGGTCTCAGCTGACTGCAAAGCCCATGCTGTGCTGCTTTCCCCTCAGCACGACCGTCTGAATTACTGCCTGGCAGCTATTCACCCCCTTCCCTCTGTGCTGTGGGCGGACCACGCTGCCCCTACCCCTTAACCCAAGGCTTGGCCATCACTTGCTTTGGCCAGCAGCATGTGTGGAAGAGGCAAACTTGCTGAAAATTCTTTGCCACCCCTTCCACTCAGAAGAGGAATCTATTTCCCTCTTTGTCTCCTTGATTGGGCCTGTGACTTGTTTGGACCAACAGAATGGGGCGGAAGTGATGTGTTCTGGAACCTCGGCCTTAAGAGGCCTTGCGGCTTTCACTCTTGCCCTCTTAAAACTGTCCTGAGAAGGCCAGGTAAGGAGGTCAGGCAAGCCTACCGGAGGGTGAGAAGTCCCCCAGGGAAGGACCGAGGGGCACCAGGTGACGGCCAGCACCGACGGCCAGTGAGGGAGGTCAGCATTACAGCTCTGACCAGTGAGCCAGGAGAGGAGCTGCCTAGCCAACTCTCAGAATCGTGAAACATGATTAGTTATTGCTGTTTTAAGCCCCTGTTTGGAGAGGTCATTTGTAGCAATAAATAACTACTACAGAATGTTAGTAATTACGACACGAGCAGAGGTCTGAAACGTGCACGGTGCTTCGGGTTGGCTCTGGTACTCTAGCGAGGGCCACGGGAGAGCCTGCCGTGGGTGGCTGCTGCCCCTTCACCTGCACCAGGACAAACACACGTGGAGCAGACCTGAGTCAAGGCCACCCAGCTTACAGCCAGACGCAGAATCTATTCTAGAGAAACCAAACTAGAGTCAACCTGCAGATTCTGAACATGAAAACATTTGGTGTTGCTACCCTCTGAGTCTGGGGGTGGTTCGTTACGTGGCATCACTGCAGCAAATGCTGACAGATACACCCGTCCTGCCGCTCTGTAACCCGCACATTTTTAAGGCAAAGGCTGTGTTTTGTCTGAGAAACAGTCTCCTTATTTCTCCCAAGAGAGATTCTGCCAGAATAGGTATCATTTGCCCAAAGTCGCAGAAACACAGATGTGGCATTATTTACGCAGTAGGAGTCGATGGTGTTGCTGCAGCTCAACAAAGTCATTTGCTGGGAGGGCTGAAGCACTGAGGATAGGGAGACCTTGTGGGTACCCAGGGGGTTCCTCCTCGTGAGCCATAAGGTCCCAGCTGGATTATCTGTACCACATGGAGCAGGAAAGGCAGGAAAGGGATGCCTTTTTGACTTGCTCTGTCTCTGCTGATGCCCGGGAGGGGTAGGAATGTGTACAGAAAGGGAAGGCACAGGTTCGGCGCAGTAGAAATGGAACCTCACCTTTGCCAGAGGCCCAGATTCACCCCTGGCTCCTCAGTGGTTTTTGCCTGACCTCTGACCCCAGCCTGGTGTACACGGCTGACGGCTGACCTCTGACCTCTGACCCCAGCCTGGTGAACAAGGCTCAGAGCCGGCTCCTCCGGCCCTTCTAACTGGTGGTCCCAGGTTAACCCAAAGCTGCTGAAAATAGGAGCGAGGTACCTCCTCATTGCTTCCTGATGCGGGCAAAACCAGGTGAAAAGGAGGCTGTTGAAAGCTACAGGGGCTTGGCCCTCCCCTGGTAAGTGCCCCAAATGGCACATCCCCCTCGCCTTTGCAACCAGGAAGACAGCTCTGGTCCTCCATCCAAGGTGACATTGGGGAGACATTTTAGCAAAAGATAAAGAACAGGAACGAATCATGCCACCGAGCTCCCGGGTCTCCCCCACACCTGCTGGTGATGCCAACTCTGAAAATAACACCTGTCAGCCTTGGACTCACCTGTTCCCTCACCTGTTCCACGGCAGACTTTCCCACCCGTCCTCGTTTGCCAGCAAGTGGTCAGCAATCAGATCATACACTCTGGCAGACCAAGGAGAGTGGCCAGGGGCCATTTTCAGGGGGAGTCTCAGGTTGGCAAAAACCCTGAAGGGCAGCGGCTGCAAACTGACATCCTTGAGCTGTATTTGGTCAATGATGGGTTTTACAATTTGCAAAACTACTATACACGGGCACCTCCCTTGCTCCTTAAAGCGACCACATGGGGTGGGAATTATTAACTCTATTTTCTAAGTGGGGAAACAGGCTCAGAGGGGCATTCAAGGAATCCTGAGGGACAATGCTGAGCGTCACTTCAGTGCCTCTCCCAACCACCCTCTGCTCTCAGGCCCAGGAGCCCGTCTCAGCCCCTTCTCTTTTCTTCAGGGTCCTGCTGCTGCTATGCTTTGCTAGGAGAGAGGTCAGTCTGGGTCCCACGAAACAGTGACCACTCACGAGTGCCCCAAGCTCTGCACCTCAGTCCCCAACCTCCTCCTATGGGCAGCCTCTGATGACAGATCTGTCCCAAACTGGCATTCTGTCCCCGAGCCCTCACCCACCGGAGGCCCAGAGCAATGGCACTCAAGCTTTCTGCTGCCTCAGCACAGAAAGTCTGTCATTGGAAGGCATGCCACACTCCCAAAGGTGTCTGTAGTGGGTTGAATGGCAGCCCCTCCATAAAGATACATCTACCTGGAGCCTACAAAAGAGACCTCATTCGGAAAAGGTGTCTTTGCAGATGTAATTAAATTATGTGAATGTAATTAGTTAAGGGTCCGGAGGTGAGATCATCCTGGGTTTGGATGGGCCCTACGTTCAGTGCCACTGTCCTTAGATGAGAAGACAACACGAAGGAGGTGATGTGGAGATGGAGGCAGAGAGCGGAGAGTTGCAGCCACCAGCAGAGGAGCACGGGGGGACAGCCGGCAGCCACAGACGCTGGGAGAGGCAGGGGAGGGTTCTCCCCCAGGGCCTTCGGAAGGAGCGTGGCCCCGCTGACACCTTGATTTCAGACTTCTCCCGCTCCCTTCCCTCCCACTCAAGAATGCACATCAGAACCCCAGGCCAACATCATGTGACCTCACATCCACTCTAATCTACACACAGAAAAGATAAACAATTTTCCAAATGACTTAACGATTTTGTCTATTTTCAAACTATTTAAAGCTTTTAACTATTATTTCTATGAGTTGGGAACACAATCATAAGACTTACGACCCCTGGTCCAGAACCTCTGGCCTGGGGGATGAGCTTGGAAGGGTTTTCACTGGTGACAATAAGCCAGCCTTACCTTTCTCCTGAGCCATCTCTTGCAGACAGAAGTAGATGACTCTGGCTCCCAGGCTGAAGCCAATCAACGTGACGGGTCGCCGGCCCTGGGGAAGAAAGGACACAGATGTCTGGGAGGGGACACGGCAAGTTCCAGCAAAACGTCAGCCCTGATGAGAACGGCCCTTGCCCACTCCTCAGTGCCGTAATGAATCACGCATGTGCTACTCCCGGCCCCCAGCTCTGATGTCTTAATCAGGGGAGTCGGAGCCCTCACCTACGCAGGAGCGCACCTGCCAGGGCAGCTGGCTTCCTCCAAGGCCGACAGGCGGCCTCTGGCCGGGTTAATTCCCTTTCACCTCGAATCATTATCCAGCCGCCATCTCTTCTTCCCCAGGACACAGGACTCATCTGCCCTGTGAAGCGGGGCCCTTCTAGGGCCAGAAAGAGGAGGCGGGAGGTACCCCCAGGTGCGATGGGTAAACAGCAAAAAGTAACATGGTAGAGACAGCTGTTCTCTTCCTAGATAGGAAAGCGCGACATGGAACATTGGCCTTAAATTATGAGAGCAGGTAGTGAGTTGGATGTAAAGAGAAACTTTCTGATTAAAGAACTTGTAGAAAAGGCAGCTCATAAGAAAAAGAAAGTTGTCTGGGGTATGTGGGTACGAGTTCTGCGTGGAAGAGGGAAGAAGCAGATGAGCCCCAAAGGTCTGGTCTGCTCTCTCCAGTCTATTTCTTTTCCCCGTTTTCATGCCGGTACGTGGATCTACCCTCCCCTGCCCCCACCTCCCTTTACGACCACAGAAAACCCTCCGTTAAATAGTGCTGCGATGCTGTGGGAACTCGAGGCAAAGGCTGCTCCTCGTCTGCCAACACCCATCCTCCCCGTCCTCGGTAACAGAACTCCTGAGTTTTCCTGGCGCACGGCTACCCAGCCAAAGATTGAGTTTCTCTAACTCGCCTGTAGCATGGCCATGGGGCTGAGTCCTGGCCAGGGGACGTGAAGGGAGGCAATAAGTGAGACTTCTAGGAACGCCCATCATTCCACTTTCCAGCCCTCGACAGATTGAGTTTCTCTAACTCGCCTGTAGCATGGCCACGGGGCTGAGTCCTGGCCAGGGGACGTGAAGGTGAGACTTCTAGGAACGCCCATCATTTCACTTTCTAGCCCTCGAATGCCTGCATGTGGATGTAACCCAGACCACATTACATGGCATTTGGGCCACCGACCAGCTGCTCAGATGGTAGCTCTATGTTTCTAGGAAAGAATACCTGGCCTTGTCCATACCTGCAGATGCCTCTCCCATTCAGTCCTCACCTAATTACCTGCAAGTGATGCACAGTCTATAATTCTTACTGGTCCGTACTAGGATATTTTCATGACTTGAACTGGAGGAGCAGTGAAGACCATCCACTCCCCTAACGCTACTCCACATGGGCTTGTCTCTAGGGCTGATGTCTACGCACAAGTCCACCCCCTCGATTCCCCTCTGGCCCCCACCCACAGCCATTCCCAGGTACCTGCTGGCGGGAGAGCAGGATGTGGGCCAGGTGCTTGCCAACCTCTGCTGATCGATGGAGACACACGCCCCAGGGGTTGTCGATGACATTGGCGACAGAGAGGAGTGAGGCCGGCCAGGTCAGGGCAGCTATGATACCTGGGGAGGTGGGATATCAGTGACGAAGGCAGTGACGGTCACTGTAGGGAGTGACTGGCTGGCTAACGGAAGCCCGAGTGAGTGCGCGCACTCTCTAACTTGGGATCTGTACGTTTTCCAAGTGTTGGCAAATTGCTAACTGAAGCTCCTGCATTTCTGACACATGGATTAGATCCCTTCTGCTCAAGCATCTGTTATGCGTGAGATTCCAAAAATGGCCCTAATTTGTCCCTTCGCACCGTACCCTCATGCTCTGCCTCGAAGCTCTATGGTTCCCCTGGTCCCTCTGCCCTGCACATTCACTCTAGACTCAGCCACGTGACTTCCTCTGGCCAACGAGTTGTTCCTAGGAGTGAGACTTGAAACAGACTTCCACATCGGGGCTAGCCTCTCCTGTACTCTACCGCTGGTGTGGGCTAGCCTGTGGATCCCAGGAGGGGGATGAGAGACAAAGGGAGCAGAGCCGGGCTGCCCCAGACGAGGCTAGGCTAGATCCGTGGACACTCGATTGACCAACAGATGCATAAGCAGACCAGCAAAGATCAGCCAAACGAAGCCTCATGGCTCCCGAGTTATTACGACAAATGATTATTATTTTAAGTCACTGAGTTTTGGGGTGGCTTCTTATGCAGCAATATCTAACTGATATCTTACATAATAATGTTGTTGGCTGTTCACCTGCCTCCTCCCCACAAAGACCGTATACTTCTCACAGACAGGAATGTAGCCTTAACCTCTCTGCTTCCGGGGCCCAGCACAGTGCCTGGTCCACCCGGGGCCTCAGGTATGCAGAGGGATGGTACCAGCGTGGGTTGGGAACGGTGCGCATGCTGCTGGCCATGGGGATGGGGAGGCTTACCAGATAACACGGTGTACTTTAGGGCCTCCTGGGCCACCATATTGGCAAGACCACTGAGGATGGTCTCCAGGGCGTTGCCGAGCTCCATCAGGTACTTGGCTTCCCAGGCCAGGCAATACTGCTCACGGCTGCGGGCCAGAGCAGCCCATGGGGCGCTGAAGGTGCCTGGGGAGGACACAGGTAGGTGGCGTCTCTCCTGTCTGTGACAGAGGATGCCGCACCCCTACTTTCCCAGATAGGCAGCCACAAGGGACCACTTACCCTTGGCCGGGGGGACAAGAGGCCCACCCCCTGCCAATGAGTGGCAGCTATTAGTGGAACAGACAGAGCCCCCAACTCAGAGGGCGATGTGCATCAAGCTGCTATTGCATGGGTAAAATGCCTGAGTACCAGGTGCTCAGTCAACGGTTAGAGATTCACTGTGTGTGGGGACAGGGCCTAGTGGTCACACACTAACAGGACTCTGGTACCAGGCAATGCCTCTGAACGGAGCCTGAACGTTTTCCCACTTGCCTTCTTCTGTGTCGTTTAGAAGAGCTTGACTTGCACCCTCGGATCCCAGAGATTTGGGAACTAGGAGGCTTTGGGCACGTGTGTCCGGTTGCAATGCTCCAGATTCCCTGGCCCACCCTGTTCTCCCTCTGAGCGAGGGACTGTTTGCTGAGCCTCACACTGGGTACTTGCAAACGTGAGCCAGGCATTGAGCTGGCCATGGTGTCAGTCCTCAATACCACCTTGGCGGAATCCCCTAAAACACGCACGTTCGAGTTAGAGCGGGGGCAAAGGAAACTAGTGTTTGTGGAATGCCAGTGAGAAACCAGGTGCCTGACACACGTTACCTTGTTTAATTTAATTTTTGTAAGTACCTTGAAAGGCATGAATAATTAGTCCCGCTTTACAAATGAAGTCGTGGGGGCACAGATAGGTTAAGGAACTTGCTTGAGGTCACACAGCCAGGGTGTACTGACCTCTCGCCTACGTGCTTAAATCCTTTGCGATATTCCACCTGCTCTGAGGGAACATTCAAACTCCTGGCCTCACATGCTCCTGCGTGACCTGGCCCTGCTCACACTCCTGTCCTCCAGCTCATTGCTCCAGCCGTTCTGTGCTCTTTTTGGTTCTTTTGCATCCCTGGACCTCTGTACATGCTGCCCCTTTACTGGGTATATACATTTCTTGCTCCTTCTTTACTCAGCCAATTCCTAGCCAGTCCTTAGCCTAAATGCTGCTTCCTCTGGGAAATGTTCCCTCATTCTCCAGAAATACTGTGCGTCTCCTACTGTGCCATCCATAAATTTCCCTTATGTAATTACTTGTGTAACGGTCTGTCTTCTGCCTCAGACCATATGTTCTATGGGAGCAGAGGCCATGACTGTGCTTCTCACTACTAAATTCCTAGGGCCTGGATCAGTGTCTGGCAAATGGTGTATACAGTACTCTATAAATATTGCTGAACGGATGGATGGATGGGTGGACGGGTGAGTGAATGAATAGCTGGATGGATAGATGATGGATGGATGGATAGATGTGTAGATAGACAGGAGGATGGGTGGGTGGATGGATGAATAGATAATTGGATGAATGGATGGATGTGCAGATAGATGTGTAAAAGGTAGATAAATGAATAGTTGGAAGAATGGATGGATGATGGATGGACAGATAGATGTGTAGATAGATGGGTAGATGGGTAAGTGGTTGAGTGAATAGATAGCTGGGTGAGTGGATGAGTGAATAGATAGCTGGGTGAGTGGATGATGAATGGATGGATGTGTAGATAGATGGGTAGATAATTGGGCAGATGGGTGCCATAATGGGTGGATGGACAGTTGGATGAATAAAGGATGAAAGGATGGATGTGTAGATAGATCGGTGGATACATGGATGGATGAAGAGTTAGATGGATGGATGGATGATGGATAGATGGACAGATGTGTAGATAGATGGGTGGATGGGTAAGTGGATGAGTGAATAGATAGCTGGGTGAGTGGATGATGAATGGATAGCTGGGTGAGTGGATGATGAATGGATGGATGTGTAGATAGATGGGTAGATAGCTGGATGGTTAGAGAGTTGAATGCATAGGTGACGTATGGATGAATGAATACATGGATGTGGAATAAAGTCTCTTCATCTCTCTGAGCCTCAGTTTCCTCCTCTGTTAAATGGCGCTCCCCTACCCATCCTCTAAAGACATACGGGGGCAAGAGCCTATCCCAGGGTCTGGCCCAGAGCAGCAGGTGCGACTCATCCAATGCCCACCCGCCTCCACCCCTGGCCCTCACGGTATTTGCCGGATGCCAGCCACCCTGTGATGGCGATGGTGATGTGCAGCTGCCTGCCTTCCGTCAGAGGCAGAAACGTGAACTCTTCGATGGCCCCAACGCGCTTCTTCATCTTGTACCCTAAAGACCCAGATACAAACACGAGAATGGAGGTGAGTGGGGACCCTGGGGAACGTCAGTCAGAGTGACTCTCTATGCTCACACACTCACACAATGAGCCCTGACTGCGTGCCCTGCCCCTGGACAAATGTCTTGTATTTTAGTTTGTTAAGGTAGGTGCCATTATCGTCTCCGATTACAGATGAGGGTAAGAGGCTTCCGGAGGCTGGCCAGCCCCCGAGTGGCAGAGCTGGGGCTGGAACTCAGAGCCCAGACTCACAACCACTGCTCCGTCCCAACTCCATAGGTTCTATGTCATTTTTCCTGTCCACAAACTTTAGGGGTACAACACACTCCTCTCAGTAAAAGTGGATCAAACTGACCAAGATTCTCAATGCGGGAAGTGACGCGCCCACATGAGACGTGGAACAGGAATCTCTGTGTGGGATTGGGGGGCTGTCGACACATAGGATTTGGAGAAGCTCCCCCAGGTGATGCTGGCAAATGAAGGGTTGCCATGTGCTGTCTTACATGAGGGAGCCCTTGTTTCTCTGAGGCAGCTTATCTGGAAACTTCCTAAATGGTGACAAGCGGGTCCAATTAGACCGTTCTCCGGAAGTCTACACAAGGTGCAGCTTCTCACGCTCAGCCCTCATCTCAACTCATGCCAAGCTACTGCCCAGTTCTCTGTGAAGCCTGCTGCAGGTTCTGGCAGGGACGGGACTCAGCATGAGAAAAGCCTCCTCCTCTATCTTCTGGGGAGCCATCACTGGGGAGAATCAGAGCGTGCCTTTTAGGAGCTGGGCCACCCTGGCTGAAAATCCCTTATAGCCCACCACTGCTTTTGAGCCTTACCTGTCAGGCCAGCCCCAGCTGCACCGAACAGCGAGGTCATGACAGCTATGCCAGCCACCGAGCCCAGGGCTGCTGCCCCAGCACTGCCAATGATTGTCGCAGCTCCAGCAGCCACAAGAGGGGCAGCGAGACCCCCAGTCACTCCTGTAAGGAAAACAGCCCATGGTGGGTAAAGGCGGGAGTGGGGACGTGGCCTGCTGGGTTCTTCCCCTATCAGCTTCCCACCACCTCCCATGGAGGCTGCTAACAATATTAATGGACACTCTGCTGACAAAGCACCTACTATGTGCCTGGGGCCACCTCCCACTGATCCTCTGCACTCTCCACTCTTGCTCCCAGCCTGGTGTCATCCCTCATTCCGTACTGCACTGGCCCATGCGCCACCAAAGTCTCACCTGGAGCTGCCCTTACCGATTACTGTCCCGCCTCCAACAGTCGCCAGGCCTATCAAAAGATAACGCTTCCATTTCCTCCGGTTTTCTTTCTTCTTCCGGGATGCCTCTGCCGTTCTGGGGGAGAAGAGGATGGTCTTTAGAGCCGGCTGTGCCTGGGACCTTTGAGACCTTCCTGCCTCCCCAACCCCCAAACTGGAATCAATGCTGGGTACTCTGTCACACAGAGCAAGGTATCAAAGTCACCTTGGGCCCATCAAGGGTTTTAAAAAGCTGAAAACATTCTAAAACCCAGCTGAGGAATCCCAGTGTGTGGGATGCGCTACTTACCCAACGGATCCATCCTAACAGGGTTGCAATTTGAATGATGAAAAGACAAAAGAAAATAATAATAATAATAATAATAATAATAATAATAATAGCGAAAGAAGCACAAAAATATCTTTTAGTAGGTGGACCCAGAACAAGTACTGAATAGAATCACAGACTCCATCATCCTCCTCTTCCCTTCCCTTCCCCCCGACTCTGCCTTCTGAGCTCACCTCCATCATTTCAAAGATGGGTTAAAGAAATGTCTGTACTGGAGACTTTGGCCTTGGGGCACTGGCTAAATTCATTCGAACTTGAAATTTAAAGGCTATAAAATGTGGCAGAAGAGAAGCATTTAGAGTCAGGAGAATCCTGAGAATGGCCACTGTGAGTGTTCAACAGTGTCACTAATGCCCCGTGAACAGCTGGACACCCAGGCCTCAGGGCTTTGGGACAACAAAGAGCAGGACAAGAGACTGAGGGCCAGTTGGGGCGGTCGTCACGAGTGCGAACTCTGAACTGAAGTTGGAGTTTGGACAACTCACTTAGTGTTTAGAGTGATAGCAGATGATGGTAATAATAAAAGAGAAATGGTTAATATTTATTGAGGAATTCCTGAATGCCAGCTATCATGCTTTGTAGTTCACATGGTTTATCTTATCCTAGAAATAGTTTCATTACCGTACTCATATTACAGGCAAATTAAGGGCTAATGGTAACTCCCTCCTGAAGGCTTGTGGGGACCAATGAAGAGAAAGTCTGTCAAGCACGTGGCAGAGTGGCACACCGTGAGTGGTGATTAAAACGGTGGCTCTTGATCTGCCCGAGCCTCAGTTTCCCCTTTTGTAAAATGGGGATGATAACACCTACTTAAGGTAGTTGGTTTGTAAAAGTGAAGTTCCTTCCTTCTTCACCCATTCAATCGACACACTGTTACTGAGAGCGGCCTGGGTGCGGGGGTCCTGGGTGCCACGTCTCGGTGAGCAGAACAAGGAGGTACTAACCAGTACTTATTTCCTTTCCCTCTCTTTCCTCATGCACCACACGTGAGGGTGAGAAACAGCTCCTCCTCCAGTCATCAAAAAGAAATGGGATCTGGGCTGGGCATTCGGGGATCTGCTCTGCCTTTTGGTGCTCTGCCAGCTCGTCTTAACCAACTTTTGTCCTAAGCATCTCCTGGGTGTACGGCACAGCACTGCTCAGTTGCTTCGCTGCAGAGAAGTGGAAACCGACGATAAAAATCTCCAGGCACATCACAGGCCCTGGCTTTCCCTGACTGAAATTCATGCCATCAGATGTGTGGGATGAGGCTGAACCACACACATCTAGCAAAGCGGAAGGCGGATGGCGAGTAGGAGCGTGGGTTCTGAGGCCAGGATTCAAACCCGCAAACACAACCCGTGGTGCTAGTGTATCACCATCCACCGAATACTCAGTTAGTGCTTCCTGCTCTGGTCCTCTCTACCGAAAGATTATACATCCCTGCCCTGTTGAACTGAATGGTCATATAACTTGCTTTAGCCAATGAAACGTAGGTGATAAGGTAGGTGATAAGGATGTGTGTCACTTCCAGCAAAATCTTCAAGTCAGTGCAGGAGGCTGGTAAGTCTCCCTTTGCACTGCCCTGAAGCTGGCAATGTTCCAGATAGAGGTTGTTACTCTGTCAGCTTGGGACCCAAAACCAAGACAGCATGGACTAGAACCACAGCCAGTCTGTAGTGGACATGCAGCATGACCAAGAAATGCACCTGCATTGCTGTAAGTCACTGAGATTTAGAGGTCATTTGTTCCTGAAGCAAAACAGCCTATCCTAATCGACAGAGTCACACACTAACTTCGTGACTATGCGCAAATTACCGATCCCACCTGAGTTTCCTCCTCCAACGAATGGGGATAATGATAGTATTTCATTCCCAGGGGTTTTTTGAGAGTTAAATGAAATAATCCACACACTGCACTGGCATATTGTGCTCTTTCTGATATGTTTGTTGCTCTTATCATCGCTTTCATTATGACAATTTCTTCCTAAGTGCAGGAGACATACCTTGGTCTTTAATTGCTAGCACTACTCAGCGCAAACCCCAAGCCTGCAAACTAGTTGCTTTTGGCAAAGTTCAAGGCCTGAGGGGAAATTCAAATTGCTGAGGAATGTACAACAGGAACATGCAATGGGACAAATAGCGGGCTCTGTGAGTCAGGCAGCATTTCATTCAACAAACGCTGCCTGGGAAATAGCCCGGGCGTTTGGGGCAGAGGTACTTGAGGCCAGCTCTGCCACGATCTCTCTGGCTCACCCAATTTTTCTGAGCCTCAATTTTCTCACTTAGGGGCTGGAAATAGAAGGATGATGACAGCAGCACCATAGTGACTAAAGTCACGCAGGAAGATAGAATCACCATTGTCTGCCTCCCTCTCTTTCTCGCTCCTGGCCCTCCCTTTGCCTTGAAGATAGTGTCACCTCTCCAGGTAACACTCAGACCCGCAATGACTTGGTGCCTGCCTCCTTCAGAGCCTCATTGCTCATCGCTTCTTAACTTATACTCTACCCTCTAGAAACACTGAACTCCTGCACGCATACTGCCTATGCCTCCGTACCTTGGCTCCTGCTTAACCTCTGTTTCCAAGGACCTTCTCATCTTCGTCTGGCTAAACATTATTCATCATTCAAGAGTCACCTCCTCTAGGAAGCCTGCCAGAGCCCCAAAGATAACTAAATGTCCCGACTCTGGGCCCCTCAAACCCTCCACACTGTTTTAGCCTGGAGTCTAGACCACTGATTCAAAGGGTAGGCTTTGGATCAACTGCATCAGAATCCCCAGGGGGTAGCTGTTAAAAGCACAGCTTCTTGGGCCGGAAGCTCTAGGAAGCTCTGGGCGTGAGGCTGAGGAAATTATCTGTAACAAGCTCTCCAGACATCTCCTGTATGTCAAGTTTGAGAACCACGGGGCCAAACCTTCAGGCCACAGGTCGAGTCTTTCCCGCCCTCTACCTTTAGGAGCTGGCCCTGGGCTTGGGACCTGGAGGGTGCTCAGAAAACATTTCCTGAACGGAACCGAATCATTCCCATGAGGACCGGATGTGGACATCTTGCTGCAGTGATCTATTCGCCCACTCACTGTCTACATCTATGAAAATCAGAGAGGTACGAAGTAGACATTTTGGCTATGCTATTTAGTCATAGCATAGGCCAATCACCCTCAAGAATGATATTATGGGACAGTAGAACAAATCTAGAATGTTATAAAATTCTGATGATTGTTACAAATTTATTTTTATGAACATAGTCAACATTTTGAGTTGGTGCCCTTGACATTTGTCAGCACCATCTGCTTCTAGATTGTTCCTACAGTGACATCTGCACATCTGATACTAGATAGCCATCACTTTTAGCTGAGTTTATGGAGGGGGAAACTCACAGCCTAAAGGCAATAAAATAACTAAAAAGTAAATATAGTTCTTGAAGTTGTTTTATTTAAAGGTATGAATACTGGTATATCAAATCAATTTTACAAAGATTAGATAAACGATATACTCTAATCTCTGATATTCTGCTTTGTATTATTATTTAAATGTTTATAAACATTTGCTGAATCAAAAAGAATATATTTTTCCTAAAGCTATTTTGCTAAAGCTCTCACTCTTAATGTTCACCTGAACTGCCCATCGATTTCCTTATTTATATGGTACTTGAACGTTTTTAATAACTGCCTTGTACATAAAAGAAGTGCTTTCCCAGTCCCATTAATGATCACAGCATTCTGCTCCTGCAATTACTTCAATTTTCTGACTGAAGTTCAATATCTCAAGCACAAGAGGAGACATCTGCTCTGAGTTACAGCGACGATGCATCCTAGATTTGGAAGTGGGAACTCAAGCAACACAATAATCCAAATAAAGCCCTGTGCCTGTTACTGGCTTCGCCCACCGGTTAGACAGTGTGGCAATCTACGCCGTCATAGTCACGCGCCACACTCGTGCTCTGGAGTGCCAGAAACGACCCTGACGTGGCATTCCACGTCAGCCTTCCAAAGGCGGATGCTGAAGCCAAAACGCAGATCTGGGCCAAACTCCCGGCTGAAGCCACAGACACTTAGTACAGAGCAGGAGGCCGCACAGCCCGTCTCAGGGTTCCACAAATCGGTTTCACTCCCTGCCATCTCGTCTCCCTTGAGAGGGTATTTCTCACGCTCCTGTGCTCACCACCACCCTCTTCTGTTTTGGATTCACCTTCTCCAGTTGCTAGAGAGGGAGAGCTCATCTCCGGGCTGACTAGAGATGCTTTTCTAGTAAAAGTTCAGAAAGCTCCCCCCACCCCAAACAAAACAAAACAAAACAAAACAAAACGAAACAAAACAAAACAATCTCTACTGCTTTCTTCGGGATCAAGGAAGGAACCTGGGATGGCCAACCACGCCTTGAGGGATGCAGCAAGTGACTGGATATGGAGATTGAATCAGAGGATGCCCTGACCAGCTGTGTGGCCTTGGGCGAGTTATGTCGCCTCTGACTTTCTGTTTCTTCCCCTGCGAAACCCTGAGGGGTTTGTTATGAGCACCAAATGAGGTGACATCTTGTGCCTGCATCCAGTAACCACTCAATAAAAGTTTGGTTGACAATGTTGTTATGATGTGACCAGTATCAACCTCCAGCTGACGTTTACCAAGACCTACTATGTGTCAGGCACCGTTCCAAGCCTTTGATATGTATTTAATCCTCTCCACAGCCCTGTGATGGAGATACTACCATTATCCCCATGTTAGAGAAGAAGAAACTGAGGCACAGAGAAATGAAGTCACAAACAAGTAGGGGAAGCTTGGATGGCCTCGGGGCTCAGATGGGGACCCAAGAACAGAAAGGCCACACCCCGCTGCGAAGGATCGCCTTGGGGTGCCAAGTGATAAGCTCACCTTGTGGAAACATAAAACCTTAGAGTTAAAAAAAAAAACACAACAACCTGTATATAATTTGATCCTCTACTTGCACAGGTGAAAAAGTTGGTACTGGTGCCCAGAGAGAGAAAGCAGCGTGCCCAGGGCCACATAGCGGCTTGGTAGGAGAATCAAACAGAACAAAGTCTCCTGGCTGAACAGCCGCTATGCTTCCCCTGGCTCTCAGAACTTCCCATAAACCACAGATAGAACCCGAGAGGTCTCCAAAGTCCCTAATACTGAATTTAAAAATTCCACATGTGGCGTATTTCTCTGAGAAACAGCCCATATATAGTAATAACGGCAGTGATAATAAACGTAAGAGCGGATAATGATATTTATCAACTAGTGACTCTGGGCAAGCCCTGCTCGAAGCACTTTACGTGTGTGAACTCATCTGAGCCCACAAGAACCCTAAGAGCAGGGTGCTGTTATTTATTATCCCCATTTTATAAGTAAGGAAACTCAGACCCAGAGAAGTTAACTAACTTGCTCAAGATCACACGGCCGGTAAGTGGCAGAGCTGGGTCGTGTTGGAACTTCTGATTTTACATATTCCCCAATCTGATGCTACTGGTACTATCAGAACAAATCCTCTCGGTAATATATATATATTTTTTTCTGACAATAAGCTTTCCAAACAATAGCTAAGAGTGTCCTTCATTTCAAGGCACATAGGATACTACGATTGTCCAGTATATCCCCAGAATCTGGGTAGCCCTTGAGATGGCGGTAATTGACCTGGGTGTGGGTGCTTATTGACACAACTCTGAGAGTCAAAACAAGTCTGTTTTCAGGTTATTTCAGCAGACCAAGTTTCCTCCTTTCTCAAGAAACCAACCTTTCCCTTTGCCCTTCAAACCCTGGCAGGAGGGCGGCTCCAGTTCTAAACTTAGCGTCAGAGCTAACTTCCCAGCTGGGCTGAGCTGGTACAACCTGGCTGCTCAAAGAAGGCCATTGAGGCCAAACAAAACCCAAGGCTGGGAGACGTGCCTGGTGTAAGGAGCCCGCAATTAGGCTGTGGCTGGATCGATTGATTGCTCTGGGATTAGATGCTGTGTAAGGTGCTCAGCAAACAGCTGAGCTCCGGCAAGTTGCCAGGATAATTTCCCACTCCCGACAGTATATAGATAGCAAAGCCGCTCTACAACTGGTAAATACAGGGGCAGGTGGGGGAAGGGAAGGACTCATGCCTACTGACCACTTGCTCGTCGCAGTCCTGGGCCAAGCACTTTGTAATATGAGCACATTTGTTTTTCACAATGACCCTGGGAGGACGCTATCCTTATTCCCATTTTACAGATGAGAATATTGTGGCCTAGAGTCGTGGGGGGCACCTGCCCAAGGTCAAAAAGCAGATGGATGTCAGAGGTGGGATCTGAACCCAGGCCACTCCGGCCCACGGACAAGCTGTCATAAGAACCTGATGTGAAGCAGGGTGTCAGGGCCATGGAATGTTGAAGTCACAAGCCCTTAGCAATCATCCATTCAATCCCCTCTTCCTAAAGATCAGGACTGGGACCCAGAGAGGGAAGTGACTTGTGTCTTTAGTGGGGGGAATGGGAAAGAGGGGACGGATATCTGAAAAGTGAACTCAGGCAGCAGTTCTCGGTTCCTGGCAGGTGGGGCGGGGATCACAGAGCTCTCTTACTCAGATTCCTCCTCTTTGGTTTCCTTCAGGCTCTCAAGGAACGTCTCTTCAAGGAGATCCAGCTCTGCCAAGGGCACTTGGAAGAGGGACGTCATGTGGCAGATGAGGACTCGGGCCCGGGCATCATAGCGCCCTTGGAAAACAGAAACACCACGGGCCGTCAGTTAAGCTTTTAAACGCAGAGATGTTAACAGCAGTGTAACTGATAAAACCCAAACTCTGGAAATGTCTGAAACACACAAGCTCATGAGAACCAGTCAATTAAACAACAGCGCAGCTTCCTGGATGGAATACTGTGCAAGTATTAAAAATATTAATCAAAAGCAAGGTGGTATTTTTCTCCTAAATTAGCAAAGATCAGTTTTTTTAATCCCCAAATCCCAAAGCTGTTACGGAGGTGACGAAAACGGGTGCACCGATATAAACTTTCTGGAGGGCAATTTGACTATATATGTGTATGTGTATGTATATATAAAATATATGTATTTATATTTCTATATACAAATAGAAAATATTTTATATTTTTTGCATTTAAAATATATAAAACATAAAAATATATATTATATATATATAAAAACTTAAAAAAAAGTGCATCCTCCAAATCATAGAGACAGAAAGTAGAACAGTGGCTACCAAGGGCTGTGGGGGGAAGGGAGGAAACGGGGGGTTAGTATTTAGTGGGGACAGATTTTTAGTTTTGTAAGATGAAGCATTCTGGAGATAGACGGTGATGATGGTTGTAGAAGAATATGAATGTACTTAATGCCACTAAATTGTATACTTAAACATGGGTAAGATGCACAATAAAAAATTGGGAAAAAGATGTATATCCCCTTAGGCCTAGGAAGTCCATTTTTGTAACTCTAATCTTAAGGAAACAACCCTAAATGCAGAAAATATTTAGTAAATAAAGGCCCTCTTGTTACATTTATAACATGAAGGTGGATATAGTCTAGGGATTTCTAACACTGGGGATTAGTCATATAATCATAACTGACCACACAACACATCCACCCAGTGGAAAACTAGGAAGCCATAAAAAATAATTTCTAAGAAAAGTTTGTAATAACTGAAAAAAATGCTTATGCAATGAAATAAACTTTAAAAGTGGATAGAAATTTACTTGATAATTTGCCATAGTGTCCCAACTAAAAAAAAAAAACCAGACACTGCATAAGAAAAAAGAAGGAACTATGTTAAACAGGATTTCTTTCTGCCTTTTCAAAATTATCCATGGTGATTTTGGGTTAATTTTATAATCGGAAAGCTTAATCTGTCAAAATCTAACCAAAGGTGGTCTGTCCAAGCTCTGTTTCTGTAAGAATATGTTACTATCTGGTTCCTAAGAAGTGGGGGTCAAACGAACTGGCCCTGTGCAAGCAATTTCTGTCTTCAAGTAGCACAAGGGACAGAATTCTGGCCAAGTAACTCTATTGTACCAAGATGGACTCCATTACCAGCCTAAGCTGTTAAAGCCCAGCCTGTCTGCCAGACGATGGGCCCTGTGTGGCATAAAAGACCCTTCTGGGTCTCCTTTTGGGTGGCCTGCCTCAGAACATGACATCACACAGCACCCAAGCCAGAGACCACCCACGATCCTCCTTCCCCCTCACCCCGCACATCCCAAGTCTCCAAGTCTAATGGAGTCTAAAAATACCTCCGCTGCATCCATTTCGCTTCTTCCCACCCGCTACCTGGCCCATTCCACTCAAACCTTCACTGGTCTCTCCACCTGCATCACATCTCCACCCACGGGACCCAGTCCATGCCTTGCATCCTGGCATGTAGGGGTCATTTCCCACCCACTCCCAGGCCAGGCTGTGAGCCTCTGACTGTGTGGGTCTGCAGAGATACCCTCCTCATGTGACAGAGAAGGTCTGTGCCGCCCTGTGGCTAAGGGAATGGTTCTCCAATCGGTCAGTCTTGGTTTTAACCCGTGTCCTTCTATGTTCCACCTAAAGGGCCTTGGATCATTTTACCCCTTGATTGAACGTTTCCTGATAATAAGTATAAATCACTACAACAGTGCTTCATGCAAAGTAAGCTGTATGAGTTTCCTATGGCTGCTGTAAGAAATTACTGGACTTAGTGTCTTAAAAAATACAGTTCTGGAGGTGAGAGATCTTGAAATCATGGTGTGAGCAGGGCCAGTTCATTCTGGAGGGTCTAGGAGAGAATCCGTTTCTTGCTTTTACCAGATTCTAGAGGCCGCCCGCATTCCTTGACTTGCGGCCCCTCCCTCTGTTCACTCCAACCTCTTCTCTATCGCCCTGATGCCTACTCTGACTTAGGCCCTCTTGTCTCCCTCTTAAAGACCCTGTGATTAGACTGGGCCCACTCAGGTAACCAGGATAATCTCCCGATCCGAAGATCCTTAACTTAATCATATCTACAACGTCTCTTTTGTCATGTAAGGTGATATATTCATGGGTTCCAAGGATTAGGACATCTTTGGGGGGTGGATTATTCTGTCTACCACTTATGCCCTGAACTATATATGTGTATGTGCACGTTGTGTCTTGGGGTTACTAGGTCATTAAAGTTCTAAACAATTAGGAGCTCCTTGCCCCCTGATAAGATCAGACTATTGTACCCAGGTAATAATCGAGCTGTGGATATGAAACAAACCTTGGCCATGGTGACTAATTAGCCACTAATTTATATTCCATTGGTCAAGGTTACAGAGATATAGGCTGCCAGGGGCATAGGTAACCTCCCAAGGTATTCTCAGGTACGGGGCTCTAGAATGTCAGCCTCGTGGAAGGGTCATTTCAAAAATCTTGGTGGCCGGGCTGCTAGACTTGGAGCTTATGATCTATTTAAGGTAGGTGGTAGGTCTTTGGGGAGGGGTACAAGTCCCACGCTACTCAGGACACTGGGGTTCTGTGGTCTTAGCTCTATTGCCAACTTGCCAGGTGACCAATTCATTCCTCAAGGGCCTATCTACCCTGTTTGGGGGCTCAGGCCCAAAGCCTGGGCATTGTTGTCGATTCTTCTCATTTCTCCACCCCTAACATCGAATCCAGCAGCTAATGCTGACAACTGCACCTCTAAAATATATCCTGAGTCTGACCACTGCGCTGCACCTCCACTGCCATGACCTGCCACTGCTACTGCCACTGTGATCGTCATTACCCTTCGACCATTGGCCATCTCACTGGTTTCTCCTCTATAACTCTTATACCTGCCCACACAGCAACTAGAGGAATTTTTTTAAGTCATAAATCTGATCATGTTCTCTCCTCCAACTTGAAATATTCCAACAGCTTCCTGATGCACTTAGAAGAAAAAATCCACACTTCTTCCTGTGGTTTGCAAGGTGTACATTATCTGGCACCTTCCTGCCACCCTCTCCCAACTCACTTTCTATTGGTTCTTTTTTCACGCTCCGGTATCTTTCCCAACAGGAAGCCATGCTCATTCCTGCCCCAGGGCCTTTGCAGGTGCTGTTGTAACTAGAAAGCCCCTCCCCCAGAGCTCTGCCTGGCTGGTCCCTCTTATTAGTCCCTCTTATTAGAGAATGCCATTTGCCTCTGAAGTAAAGCAGCCCATGCCTCAGTCACTCAGCCCCCATTCCCGTGTTTCCTATTACTGTTATATATACATGTGGATAATTATTGTCTGGATCTCCCCACCAGAATGTCAGTCTCACCAGGGCAGAAACCTTTTCTTTGTTCCTTGTTGTCTCCGGGACAGTGCCCAGGACAATGTCTGGCAATTAGTAGGTTCTCAATTAAGACGTGTTGGCTCATTAATTAATTGAAGCTCCCCCCCTTGTCTGCTAGGGTCCTCTGATGTGCCCGCCTGTGCCGAGCAGCACCGAAGACCTTCTTTGGCTTCCCACCTTCGGCTGAGACTTATTCTCCTTTTGAGTACCCTCTGGGTCATGCATCCCCTGGGTGACAAGGGAGAAAGTGGGTTTATTGAGTAAGGGCACTCTCCAACTCTGGGTGGGGTTCACCTCTGAGTGGTGAGTCACTCTTGCCAACACCTGGAATACTCTCTTCCAGATCTCCTAGATCAGTTCCTTCTTCAAATGTCACTTCCTCCAAGAAGTCCTCCCTGACCCCAATTCACTGCTTTCTATTCTCTTACCATGAGGTATTTTCTTGTTATCATCAGTTATAACTTGATTTTTTAAGTTAACGAGGCCCCCAGGTGGTTCTGAAGCAGGTGGTTTCTACTCTGAGAGACAAAGCCATGAGCAAATAGGCGAGCACTTGCTGGTCTGAGAAGGGCTGGGCAAACTTGTGCCTGGAGGCTGGGCTCATTAGGACGACCCTTCATGCTGTCTGCTGGGAAGGAAAACCAGCATCCATGACACTCCTACTATGTGCCAGGGATCACTCAAGGAGCTTGCACATGTGACTGCTAATCCTCCCAGTGGTTCTAGGCAGCAGGTAACGATGATGCCTCAGCTGAGGGGGTGGTGGAGCTTGAACTATAATCCAGATGATCTGACACCAACTTGTGTCCTCATTCCACTGCGGCCACCATTTAAAGGCAAGCTATCTGTTCTCGAAGGAGTTTGGGGGTTCCAGAATGATCCCTTGTGGTCAGTGGTGAACCCTATCTTCTGTGTACATGGGCACGAGGGTTGCACATACAATGCCAAGCATAGCTCTAGGCCCTGGACCACAGGTGCACATAAAGGTGATCCATTACCTAGGCGGACTGTTCTTTGGAAAATCTTGTGGGTGGGGGGTTGACCTAGGGATCGCAGGCCAGAGTGCAGCAGCCTCCCACAACCGCTAGGCAGCCCCAATGCCCACCTGGACCCAAAACCACATATTGTGGGAGCCCTTGGAACTCAACTGGTCCTTCTGGCCGAGGATGACCAAAGGCATGTCCACAGTCACCCAGTGCGTTCATAACAGAGCCAGGGCCAGAACCCACATGTCTGGGCTCCTTCTTCCACTAGCATCTCTCAGTAGAGAAGCTACTGTGTCTCACACTTTATCATGCAGCACTGTGCATCCCAGGATGAATGCCCTGGAGCTTGGTACTAAATGCCAGTTATACCCTAGGTGTTGTGATAACAACCCTCGCTCTCTTCACATTTGACAGCCTCCTGTTGCAAGACATTGAACCAACCTCTGTTCTCAGTATGGCTCCAAGTACCTCTTGGAGAGCAGCAGGATCCCAGACCTTTGGGAAGAGATCATGGTCAATCCCTTCCCTTTGAGGACTGCCCTCCAGACCAAAGAAAAGGATCCCAGATGCAGAACATCAGTCTTTGTTGTCACACAGACCTGGGTTTAAATTTTCATCTGACTACCAACTAGATGAATGGCTTAAGGTAAGTTTCTTGACCTCTCTGAGTCTCAGTTTCTTCATCTGTAAAATGGGGACAAGAATATCTCCTAAATTTGGCTTCTGTTGAGATGGAATAAGAAGATGCATGTGACGAGCCTAGCTAGCACCTGGGATGCAGTCAGTGTTCAATAAAGGGTGGCTAATATTACCATTTTTATGGTAAATTGTCATGTTTTCAATCCTACCTGGTTAGTGATGCTCAGAAGCCAGGGCTGCTCGGCTGAGGCTGTGAGCTGCCTGCTACTATGTTAGATCAGGGACCCTTTGTCTCTTCTCTTCTTGGGGTCCAAGGACTCATCTGTCAGGCCATATTCATACAACTGCTTACCCGGCCCACTGCACTACCATCCTACAATTTATCGACCTTCCTAATGACATATTTTTATGTTTAACACTTAGGATATTTATTCTAGTTTTCATCCTAAGTTAAATTGTTTTTTCATATAAAGAAACCACATCTTATTCCAATTTCATGCCACCCTGCCCACTGCTGGGAAACGGGTTTACGCTTACATGTGTGGGTTCGGGGTCTTCACTTTGTGAGCCAGAGCATGGCTAGAGGGCCGAGACTTTAAGGTTGGACCCCCTCACAGGCAGCAGTTGAATTCAGATCATTTTGGGCATGACTCCTGCCTTTTCTCCTTACGGCTTATTTTGGGGGGACAATTCCATGACCAGGTCTTCTTCCAGCTCCATTTTTTCGGATGCCGGCAAAATTGGCCGCTCCTTCGCCTCCTGCCACATGGGGCACCCACTCTAAGTTTCAGCCTCATCAAAGTCAGCTGTAAGGACCAGGGCTCTATCAATTTCTGTTCACGTGGGAAGAGCAATCGCAGTTAAGAGTAATCTCTGAAATCACATCGCCTGTGTGATTTCACTTTCTAGCTGTGTGACCTTGGGCGGGTTATTTTCCTCTGTGTTGCAGTTTCCTCTTTTGTAAAATGGGGACAGTAATGGCATCTACCTCCTACGGCTGTTGAGTTTAAAAGAATTAGTAGAAAGCTCTGAGCTCAGGGCCTGCACGCACTAGGTACTCAGTGAGTATCTGCTATAATTAGAATTACTCCCTGTGTGCCACAGGGCCTGGCACACACAGTGGGTGCTTAGTTCTTATTTGCTGAATGGATGAATTAGCCAGTTTCGATGCTGATAACAAGTTATATGAATCTGGAGGGTGCTGAGGGGGAACCCAGCAACCAGGCGACGATGTTTGCATTTCACCATGACACAAGACAAACATCTCAAACCTTTCTGATTCATTGGAGAGGTAGGGTTTATAATTCAGTTATAAAGACCAGATCAGAAAGTAGAGCCAAATTTGTGAGAAAGATGGCTCTGTCCCCTGCGGTATGCATCTCCTCGGGTCCTACGGCCTAGAGCTGATGCTATCTTTGGCTTCAGAGGACCGAAGGCAAAAACCATGATTCAGTTTAAGTTTCCTGGACACAGTGAGATTCACTTTGCCTTAAATGGAATTTTGAAACTTTGAAATGCAGTCCTGGGCTACTTAACTTCTGCATCTAATTTCATCTCCTGTCGGTGAGGATAACAGGGCCTACTTTAGCAGTTGACCTGAAGATTAAATACTATGTGATAGTTCACCATCTATGTATAGGACCTAGAAGAGCAACTAGAATAACTTATAAACGTGACCAACGACAAATAAACCAGCCCAATCTGAGATGGCCAAATTTGGGGTCCTAGGGCACTGGTTCTCAACCAGGGCTGCTTCTGACCCCCAGAGGACATTTGGTAATGTGTGGAGACATTTTTGATTGTCAAAACTCAGGAAGTGCTACTGGCATCTAGTGAATAGAGATCGGCAATGAAGAGAGACATGTCCTACGATACACGGGATGGCCCCACAACAAAGAATGATCCAGCCCTATGTGTCAGTAATGCTGAGGTTCAGAAACCCAGTTTAGCGTTAACTCAGATTCAGTTTAACCTTCAACACACAAAAGACTTGTTTTTTGAGTTGTGTGGGAAAACAACTTTGTGAGTTGTTACTAGGAGGAGAAGAAAATGGTTAACACCTCCAAAAATTCCACCCAGCTGCCAAGATGGCATCGTTTTGTGACTAAGATCCCAATGCTGGCAGTAAAGGTCAACCTTCCAGGAAGTTCTGAGAAACGCAGCTTTTCATGCTGATTTCCTGGGCGGATTCCATGACTCATCACCCCACCTCGCACCCAGAGAGAAATCCAGCAGCACAGAGAGCCTCTTCCTCTGTCGCATGCCCCTGCCCCATCAAGTGCTGTAGAAGAGGGCGGTTTAACCCTTAACTTCATACAAGCCACCCTGCTAGTGTGTAGCCTCGTTCTCTAAAGAAAGGCCATCCATCCATCTTTCTGTTCATTCATAATTCCATCCATCCACGTATACATCCATGTATCCATCATTTTTCTATCCATTCATCCTTTTACCCATGCACCTAAGCATGCATGCATGTGTCCATCCATCCATCCTTCTACCCTTTCATCCATGTATGCATCCATGCTTCCATCATCTGATCATCCATCCATCCATCCTTCTGTCCTTTCATCCATGCATGCATCCATCCTTCCATCCATCCATCCATCTAATATTAAATGCCCACCATGGGTCCATCAGTGTTATTGGGATACGACAGTGAACAGTCTAAGCAAGGGCCCTGCCTTCATGGAGCTTGTGGGGAAGTACTTGAACAAATGGCCCAACTATGACGCTGACCTTCTCTGAGCTGTTCCAAGACCCCCAGGGTATACCTCAAACCGAGGATAGTACTGAACCCTATATATGCTCTATTTTTTCCTATACATACATACCTATGATGAAGTTTAATTTATAAATTAGGCACAGTAAGAGATTAACAATAAGTAATACCAAAATAGAACAATTAAAACAACATATTGTAATGAAAGTTTGTGAATGTGGTCTGTCTCCCTCTTTGTTAATAATCTGAGAACTGAGTAGGCGATTATGTGACTAATGGAGGGGGTAGTGTACACAGCATGGATACGCTAGACAAAGGCATGATCTACATCCTGGGCTGGATGGAGCAGGACTATGAGATTTCATTATGCTACTCAGAATGGCGCACGATATCAACTGTTTATTTCTGGAATTTTACATTTAATATTTTTGACCCGAGGGTAACTGAAACTGTGGAAAATAAAACTGCAGATAAGGGGGGAAGTACTGTCACGAAGTGAAAGATCTTGATAAGAGACACGAGGAGGAGAGGAAAGGGAAGGGGAGAAAGCCCCAGAAGATGAAGGCAGAGACTGGAGCGATGCGGCCGTAAGCCAAGGGCTGCCTAGAGCTATCAGCAGCTAAAAGAGGCAGGAAAGAGTCTCAGCTAGGCCTTCGAAGGGAGTGAGACCCTGTTGACACCTTGCTTTCAGATTTCTGGCCTCCGAAACCGTGAGAGGATAAGTTTCTGTTGCTCTAAGCCACCCGTCTATGGTAATTTGTTACAACAGTCCTAGGAAACAAAGGTAGTGAAATCTCGCACTGCCACGTACTGAGCAACCTTGGGTAAATTGCGTCATCAGTCTGAGCCGCCTTCCTCACCCACAAAACGGAGCACTAGGATCCATCTCATTAATTCATTCGACAGATGTTCACTGAGTATGTACTATGTGGAGGTGCTGTGTTAGGCACCGGAAGTATGTGGTGCAGAAAACCAGGTGCGGGTTCTGCCCGTATGGAGCTTACAGTCTGGAGGGGAAGCCAGTTAGTTACCAGGCGAAGAAGCACGTCACTAGGAATTCAACTGCAGCCATGGCTGACGTGGCTGACGTGCTGTTGGGGGAGCGTCCCAGAGCGGGGGCCAGGAAGCCGTTCCCTGGGGAATGATGACGGAGTGAAGGGATGAGGGAGAGGCAGAGACTACCTGGGCAAGAGGAGCAGGACGTCCTCCAGGCAGGGGAAGGGCATGTGCAAAGACGCCATGGTGCCAAAAGCAGGGCTCACCCAGAGAGGCCAGCATGGGAAGAGGAGCGGGCAGAGTGGTGAGAGATGAGGTGGGCGCAGGGCTGGCCCACCAGGAAGAGCTGGTCTTTTCCCTGCATGCAACAGGAATGGCCACAGGTGTGGATGGGTATGGAGCCAGGAGGCAGTGTGGTCACATGTGTCTCTGGGAAGATCATTTGAGTTGCAGGGTGGAGGACAAACCGCTGGCCAGAATGCGGAAAGAGGACAGTGAGGAGACCCCCTGCTGTCATCCAGGGGGGATGATGGTGGCTCAGACCAGGGCGGAAGGTGGAGATGAGAAAGGGGCCCGATTCGAGAGCTACTTAGAAAGTAAAACCACAGGGCATTGCGAGGAATAAATGAAATAACCATAAGAAGCACCCCAAGCACTTGGCATGAATGATGTGTTCACCAGCTCCCCAACTGTATGGGGTTCCCACGGGGGATCACGCCACAGGCGGCAACTCCTATCACTGGCTTTACTGGCCGAGAACAAAGAGGAGCCCTCGCAATTTACAGAGCTTAGAAAATCAACTCACCATCCTTGAGAGAGAAGGTCATCAGGTCCTGGTGGAAAAGTAACAGGAATGGGCGATAAGTTGCTATGTAATCAGCCAACTCATTTGACAAATATTTACTGACTGTTAGTGGCAGAATAAGACAGACCAAATATCTCTGTGTTATATGCTAGTGGTGAGCCAGACAAGTAAGTAAATAAATAAATGTGTGAGAATGTCAGGGAGTGAAACGAAGCGGGGAAGGGCTGTTTTAAATCTGCTCGGTTGACTCACCAAACAGCCATGTCAGAAGCTTCCTGCTTTAACTGTACACGGAGCAGGTAAGTGACATGCTCAAGGGCACACAGCAAAGCTGCTGCTTCTGAAAAGAGGCACCGCAGCTTGGCATTGAGGAACATGGGCTCTGGAGTCAGACTGCCAAGGTTCAAATCCAGTCTCGGCCACTTGTCAGCTGCCTGACCTTGAACGAGTTATTTAACCTCTCTGTGCCTCAGTTTTCTCATCTATAAAATGGGGATGATCATACTACCTATCTCATAAAGTTGCTTTGAGAATTAAATGAGTTAATATTTATAAAGATGCTAGCACATCATAAGCAGTATTTAATAAATTAAATCAATAGTAAATATTCAATAATGATATTTAGCTATGATCATCATCATCATACGATATTATGATGAAATATTTTATCTTTCAACTACCCTATTCTACTAGAAGTGATATTCGGACTGACTTTGAAAGGAAATAATTTATTCTAGTTTCCTTGGAAGCCACCTGGGTGGTGGGTGTACCTGAGTGATCACCAATGGGTTGTCCTTCAAGATGGGGTCCTTTGATAAAATCTGAACAAACATTTCGGCTCCTTCACCTCCCAGGCCACTGGCAAAAGCAGTCATGGTTGGCAAGACGGCTTCGGACAACTCCAGCCACTTCACCAGGCCTGTCATAAACTCTGTGCAGAAGGGGCTGAAAGACAGACATGACTGAGATCTCAAAGTTTCCTGGACTGTGTATCTCCAAGGCCGTGGGGAAGTTTAGATCAGACCTGTTTGTGGATGTGAACAGCTGGAATATACAAAAAGACCATGGTGACCGTGGTCCATGGAATACAGACAGAGCCGAAAACCTAATTTTAGGTGGTGGGGATTTTAGCTTTTCCTCCCATCAAACATTTGACTGAAGAGGCCGATAAACCACAGGAACAAGGGCAACGAGCAGCTTCTGACCACGTGTCCTGGGCCGAGCCTGAGTAGGGGCTGTGCTGGGGGCTGAGGGATCAAAGATGAGCGAGATGCGGCTTCTGATGAGAAGCTCACAGCAGGTGGAGACGGAGATGTAACTAATTGATCCCAGTGTCATGTGATACGCTAGGACAAGCAGGAATTGAGCTCTGATGAGTCCAGGGAGGGAGCCCTCAGAACGGCCTGTGGAGGGGAGGCGCAGCGGCAAGACAAAGCCTCCTGTGCGAGATCTGCTGATGCTGGAAATCACCGAGGACGTGCTTTCTTGGGAAAAGCCAGCCACTGCGGAAATGGATAAAGCGCAGAGGAATAGTGTCCTCCTGCCATGCCCACTGTCCCCGTGGGGTCTCTCTCCATAGCAGGCATTTGACTTGAATTCCACAGGAGCCTCTGGGTGGGGGATGGCCAAGGTGCTCTAGGGGAGAAGGAACCCCAGGAGTTGAGACAACTGCAGGAAGCACATGGCATGTTGGGCACTGTGGCAGGGTCCACATCAGGCTTTGATTCAAAGTCACCATTCATGGCAGCAACAGTGGTAAGTGGGGCAGTGGGTGGGCATGGGGCTGTGGAGCCAAGGGAGTCAGTTAGGAGGTGATTATACCAGCCCAGAGAAAAGGCTGATACTCAGAAGTCAAGTTTATCTCCAAACCCAGCGCCCCAGCCTGCCTCAATTGCACTGTCCTGGGTTCTATACCCCAGTTCTGGCCAGACTAGGGTGAACTGCCAGACTAGGGTGAAATGCCAGAAGGCTCCCTACCTGCACCACCCAGCCTGGTCTCTACGAATCCCAGGCAGCCCACCCGTCCTAGTCCTGAAAGCTGGGGCCACCGAAGCCCAAGTGGAGAGATCTCTGCAGGCCGGGCCCCTGACGAGAGCAGTGAAGACCTTAGGTTCAAATCCTGGTCCCGCTGTTATGGTCTCCAGGAAGGAGCTCTGAAATGAGTATTAGGGTCCCCTTGGGATCAGTGCCTGTGGGTGGGCAGGGAGGATGCAGGGCTGGGCAGGGCAATAGTTGAGCTGCGATGCAGTCCCAGAGGAAGACTTAGCTAACTCTGAAGGGAGTTCTGAAGATTAGATGACCCTTCGGAGTTACCCTCTGTGGGGCGAGAGGGCTGGGCCTTTATGCCTCCACATCAGCCAGTCATTGGGTGAAGGCCGCCCCAGGAATGGGGCAGAACAGTGGGCGAGGTAGCTCTCTAGCTGTAGCCAGTCCAGGCGGTGCTCGCAGCCCTCTCAGCAGCTGGGGGAACGTCTTTCATTCCTAAAAGGACGTCTGAGCGATGCAGCACCTTGCAAAAGGAACGACCTCCCTGTGCCTCAAGTTTCCTTATCTGCAAATGGGTCTAAGCGACCAACTTCATAAGGTTGTTTGAAGATTAAATGAGATGATACATACGAAGCACAGAGAACATGGCTTGGCATGGAGTTGTTGCTCAGCTAACATTAGCTGGCGTCATTATTTTTATTTATAAGGCAACCAAGGGAGGCAGTGGCAAATGGGGTTCAGAGTCAGGCACTAAAGTCCCCTGGGAGCGTCCCCTTTCACCTCCCTTAGCTTCATTTTCTTCTGCTGTAAAATGCAGATGATAACAGGACCTGCCTCATAAATTGGTTGGAAAGATTAAATGACAGGGTAACTGCATCTGGCATCTGATAGCCCTCAATAAATGTTAGCTACTGCTATTACGATTATAATAATTTACTTACTGAGATTACCCTGCGGTGGTATATGGTGTGTACAGGGGGCCATGGATGACTAAGCGAACTGAACATTCCTTAAGGGTGAAATTATATGCAGAAAGGGCTCAGAGCTGAGCAGCGGCATGGCCTGGCCCTGTGTCCATGAAGAAAGTCTTGGATGTAGAGAAGCATATCATAACAAGAGTTGGGGGGTGCGATAAAGAGCACGAACTCTGGTTCAAGTTCCAGCTCTGCTCCTAGCTGTGTGATCTTGGACAAGTTACCTAACCTCCCTGTGCCTCAGTTTCTTTATCTGTAAAACAGAAGTGATAATGATAAAACCTATTTCAAAGGGTTGTTGGAAGGATTAACTAAGTCAACATTCATCATATGCTTAGAACAATACCTGGCACATGTAAAGCACTATATATATGTTTCTTTAAATGAACAATTGAATTAATAAATATATATGTGAAGTGGCAATACAGCATTTTAGATTGGCAGGGCCTCAGCAACTGCTTCTAATGTTGGTGGCCTAGTCGAGATACATGAACATCAACAGCAACACGGACAACAAAAGACAGTCACAGAGCGACTATCCGTCGGTTCCTGTGCTAAGGGCTTTATACACACTGCCTGTTTACTTTCCACCATAACCCGTGAGGGAGAGAGGTACTATTTTTACCCCTGTTCTAGAGAAGAGCACACCCAGACCAAGAGGGGTTAAAGCGACAGTTCTAGGGTTCAAGCCCACCACTCTCTGACTCTAGAGGCCATGCTTGCCCACCGCAGAGACTGCCCTGTCCAGCGATTACATTCCTAGGCACTCACCATGTGCTGGGTGCTGGCCAGGCAGGTGCAGCAAACATCCCCTTTCATCGTTAGGGCCCCAGAGATTCAATGCCTCATCAAGGGTCTCACCGGTGGGGAAGGCAGAGCCTCACCTGGAGTCCGGGGATTCGGACCCCCCCCCAGTGCAGAGCTCCTCAGACTCACTAGGAGAGTCAGAAACATTCAGGGAGGAAATGCCCCACGACAAACGGCGCAGGAGGCCACATCTGGCCTGCAGCCTGTTCTCGTAGATTAAGTTTTACTGGAATACTGTCACACCCATTCCTTTACATACCGTCTCTGGCTGCTTTTAGGCTAAAGATCAACAGAGGGACTGTGACAGGGACCACGTGGTCAGCAAGCTAAAATACCTGGTCTTCTACAGAAAATGTCTTGCTAACGCTGCTCTACCCATTCATTTCTCCATGTTTAATAAATAAGGTTAATTGTAGGGAACAGCATCTGTGACATTTACAGCCTGGGTAAGAAATAAGTATTTGAAAGGCTTGCTTTTCTGCCCCATGTGGACAAAAATGGCTACAGAGTGTTTTCTTAACATAACTGAAACCAGCAGCTTATCTGGGCTGTAAAAAGGTTGAAGCTGCCCTTCTAATGTGTTTTGGGCCTAGGAAAACCAATGTGGCAGGAGTTAGCATGCTGATTCAGAAACTTTTAGGAAGGAAATGCCCCAAGGCAAATGCTTCCAGCCACCTGTGCCAAGTACAATACTTGGATGTGGGAGGGGCACAGGACAATAACTCACTTCTCTATGTGCCATCCTAGGTGGTCCCCGGCACAGGCCTGGCACACTGTCCAGGTTCAAAAATGTTTGTTTATGTGAACAAAATACACAAAACTCTTCCCCACCTAGGTACCAGCTTATCAGGTAGGGAAGTATCAGGTCAGGGGAAGCTTCCAGAAAGATGCAGGCTTCCCAGATATGGCACAAGTATGGGCCAGAGCAGGGAGAGTCAGGCTCTTGCGAGATGGGACCCAGCTTGCTTGGGAATAGAATATCTAATGAAATCTATTCTAGCCTCCAGATAGAGTGTGTTGTTGCATTATTAATAATGACAACATCCAACATTTGTTTGGAAATAGCTCTGTGCCAGGCTCTGTGCAGGGGCCATCAACATACTCCCTCCCCACGAGAACCCTCTCTGCCAGATGTCCTTTCTCTGCAGCAGTAATTCCCCAGGCCTTTCTTCCTGGGCAGCAGAATCTACCTTCCACATTGAAGGTTAGAAATGGCAAGTGCTTTTAATTTTTCCCAGCCTCCCTTGCAGCTGAGTCTCAGGCAGGTGACTGGATCTAGCCAATGACACAAAAGGGGAAGCCTTTTGGCGTATTCTGGGAAAGATTTCCTCCCCGATGAGAACGACTTGAGGAGAATTCCTGCCATCCTCTTTCCTGCCTTAGGCTTTGTGCTGTGAGGGTATGATGTACGGAGCTGCAGCAGCCATTTTGTGATCAGGAGCGGGAGGCCAAGAGAGTTGCAGAGAAGCTAGCCAAAGGCTTTTTGAGGCACTGAAACAGCCTAGAACACTCTATCTTTTGATTTCTTGGTAAGTGCTAAGTGACATGTCATATTCCCCTACCAGGTTGTGAGCTCCTTAAAGACAAGGAAAATGCCTTTCTCCTCTTCATAGCACCCCACAGTACCTGGCAGGCAGCTTGGGCTGTCAATAATTGTCTCTTAAGAAGCATGACCTTCCTCTGTGAGACAAAAGCACTCACTCACCTGTGCTCAGGTTCTGGAAATAGTTGGGACAGAGAGATGCCACAGAGGGCGGCATAGGCGAAGCGGTTGGCCTCGGACAGCTCCCGGCCCATGGGCAGATGTGGTTCCCCTTCCATGGCTGGCTCGGCCACCTGAGGTGGCCTACGGCTTGATCTGTTCCATGCGGCCATTTCCAGCCCTACAGGAAAAAAATCCCAGTGAGAAATGCATCCAAGGCATAAGCAAAGGTTACTTAGGTGGGACACAAAAATTATCAACCATAGAGAAAAGACTGATAAATTAGCCTTCATTACAATTAAGAACTTCACCTCTAAGGGAGTGAAAACACACACCACTCATTGGGGCAGGGGTAAATATTTTCAACATGTTTTTCAACAAAGAATTTGTATCCATCGTATGTAAACAACTCCTATAAGTCATTAAGAAACAGAAACGAAGCAAATTTAAAAACGGGCAAAAGATGTGAATAAGTACTTCATACAAGATATCCAGTGGCCAATAGCACATGCAAGGTGTTCGACATCATTAGACATCAGAGACATAGAAATTAAAACCCCAATGAGACATTGCTATTCACCCATCAGAATGGCTAAAATTAGAAGACCAACAATACCAAGTATTGGTGAGGATAAGGGACAAAGAGAACTTCCATCCACTACTCTACTGTGGAGTGTGAATTAGTCATCAGGGAAACAGAAATTAAAACTCAATGTGATACTACCATGCACCTATCACAATGGTTAAAACGGAAAAGACCAACAATACCAAGTACTGGTGAGAATAAGGAGCAAATAGAATGTTCATACACTGCCAGTGCGAGTGTAAACTGGTACCACCATTTGGAAAATGGTTTGACATTATCCACTAAAGCTAAACATATGTCTCCCCTATGATCCAGCAATTCCGCTCCTAAAAAATGAGGGCTTATCCACCAAGACACACATATGGATGCCCATAGGAGCTTCATTCATAATATTCCCGAATTGGAAACAGCCCACATGTTTCCTCACAGTGGAATAGATAAACTGTGTCATATTCGACCATGGAATATCACACAACAATGAAAAAGAATGGTGTCTGGCTAGCCACAACAACACGAGTGAATCCCACAGACAGAATGATAAGCAGACAGATTCTATCTGTCTATCATGTAAGATTACACTGATATGAATGAGAATCTATCATGTAAGATTACACTGATATGAACTCGAAGAACAGGTCAAACCAATCTCTAGTGATAGTAGTCAGGAGAGAGGTTACCTGTGGGAGGGAATATTGGCTCGGAGGGGCACAGAGAGCCTTCTGGGTGATGGAAGTTTTGTGTATCTTGACCTAGGTGGTGATTATGTGGGTATAAACGTATTTAAAAATTCATCGAGCCGTATACCTAAGATGTGTGCACTCTGTGTATGTTACATATACTACAGTGAAAGGAAGGAGGAAAGAAGGGAAGGGAAGAAAGAAGGAAAGGAGAGAGGAAGGTCTTCTTCCCTTCCCTCTCTCCTTCTCTTTATTCTTTGCTTCCTTCCCAGGGAGAGAAGGGGAAGAAGGAAAGGGAGGGGAGAGAGCAGGAGACGGGAGAGGACAAACCAAGCCAAGCCAGGCATCCAAGGGGCAGGAAGGGCCCTGGGAGCGGGTACCGGAGAGGGTAACAGCCTTAGCACTGTGGAGATGGACGCAGGCTCAGGACCAGACAGACCTGGGTGTGACTCCAAGCATCAACCTAATAGATATGGGACCATGGGCAATACAACCTCTCTGCACTTAGATTCCTTCACCTACAAATGGGACTATAACAGTATCTGCTGGGAAGAGCTGTGTTAGCAGTAAATGACATCACCATGCAGGTTAGTATTTGTAAAACATTTAGAACCAATTCTGGCACAGGGCTCGTGCTATATAAATGTTTGTGAAGAAATAAATTCTGGCACAGGGCTCGTGCTATATAAATGTTTGTGAAGAAAAAAAAAAAAATCAACAAACAAGTAAATGAAATGCTAAGCACAATGCTCTGGCACATAGTAACAGTGTATAAATAACAGTAAGAACTAACATTAACAAGCCATTGCTGGATGCCAGGCCCTGGGCCGCCGTTTTAATATGTATGGTCTCAGCCAAATCTACGAGCCCGGTACTACCAAAATGTCCAGTTTGAAAAAAAGAGAATGGGCTCAGAGGAGAAGTACCTGGGCCCAGGTCACATGGCCAGTAAACGGTAGACCAGAGCCCAAAGCCAGAGCTCCTGGCTATCGCCTCTGTTTTAAAACACTCATCCTATCGCCATGAGATTCCTAGTCTAATACCCACACTCTGCACTGATTTTGGTCCATAAAATTCATTCTCATCCAGCTGAACAATACGAATTTTTGTTCTCAAAATATTACTTCCATGGAGCAGTTATTTGAAAGTCTGTCCACAACTAATATTTCATTAGCTTTTCAAAATAACCCTGAAGCTGTTAGAAGCAACAAACCAACATCTATATGGCACGTAACAGTTTACAAAGCACTTTCCAGTCCGTTTAATTCTCACGACTACCATGCAAGGTTAAACAGGACGTGAGCCCTTATGATTCCCTACTGCAGCTGAAGCACAGGCTCAGAGAGGGCAATCGATTCCCCAAAGTTACACAGGAAGGATGTGATGAGAGTCAGATCAGATTTTTGGCTTCAAATCTCATGCTTTTTCCTCTACACCAGCACAGGGACCTTTCTTCCTTTGTTTCAGATGGAGAAATTGAGGCACAGAGAGGTTAAGACCTTGCCCAAGGTCACCCAGCAGGACTGGCTTCCCACGGTTGCTCTAGGAACCTAAGTTTGAGATTAACAGAAGACTTCCATGGCTCGGAGGATCATTCCAGATCATAAGGGTGGACAAAGGGGACAGCAATAAGCCGTGGACTAAGGAAAGCACCAGGGGCAGCAGCCAGCATGATGTCAGCAGGCTTAGCAATCTCCACTATAGGTAATTAACTCTGTGTGTCCCTTGGAGGCTACAGTAATTGTGCCTACTACCCAGAGGAACCCAAGATGGTATTTTATTGGGCTGGTATCTGGGGAGACCTACGTCAGTTCTTAGTTCAAGAATAAACAACCATCTAATCAGAGAAGCATGAGCTGGCCTGCCTCTAACCACAGGGGAGAAGTATGCTTAGTGCACAAAAAGCTCTGCTCAGGCCAAATTCAATCATTCACTCATTCATTCATTCATTCATTCAATAAAATATATTATAATGTATTCTTTCCACAGTAGCCCGAGTGGCTTTTTCGTCCTATATACCAATCGTATCACTCATCTGCTTAAACACCTCCAAAAGCTTCCCAGTGCACCAGGAAGAATACCAAGCCCCTTTGGGTGGCCTACAATGTCCTGCGTGATCGGCCCCACCTGCCTCTAAGCTCCACATCACGTTCCCCACATCTAACTTGTTCACTACCCTACAGCCATACTGGCTTTCTGCTCTTCAGATATTCAAGCTGGTCCCTCCTCTGGACCTTTGCACCTGCCATTCCCCCTGGCTGGGACACTCCTCCCCTGACATCGCTCTGGCCTCAGATGAATTTCACCTCCTCTGAGAGGCCTTTCCTGATGCCTCAGGCTAAAGTACTTCTGCTCCTCTGTCTCAGGACCCTGGTCTATTTTTATAAGCCTTAGTACTATCTCCTATCTTAAATCACACACACACACACACACACACACATATCTTTTTTTTTCAATTAGAGTGGACATTCTGTATTATTTTCTATTAGTCTCAGGTGTACAGCATGGTGGTTAGAAATTTATATAATTTATGAAATGATCTTTCCAATTAGTCTAGTACCTGCCTGGCACTATACATATTATAATGTATATCAATATATAACATTGTTATATTAATATATAACAATGTAATAGTTATTACAATATTATTGACTATATTCCCTACGCTGTACTTCACATCCCTGTAAAAATAATATATTTCTAAATTATTTATTTACTTATGTATACAAATAAAATGTAAGCTTCTTGAGGCAAGCTTACATTTTATTTGTATACATAAGTAAATAAATGTTTTTTCATTGCTGTACCCCTAGCTTTCTGACCAAGCCTTGGAATATTGTGGTCATTCAATAACTACTTGCTGGATGAACAAAGAAGGGTATGAGATGTGTGATGCCCTGTTCTGGGCCTCGGAGCAGGTCAGGGGACAAAACTGACAAATTCTCTGCTCTCGAGGGTCTTACATTCTAGTGGGAGACAGGCGATAATACACCAATATGTAATGATAATAATAACTTAATTAGATATGATAATAATTTAATAATAATTTAACCTGCCCAAGATCACATAGCTAGTAAGTGATGGAACCAAGATTTGCATTGGGCGGGCGGGGGGAGGGGGGGTTTCTGGTTGTAGGATCCATGCCTTTAACGGTCCACTAAATAAATCCGTAAACATTTGTTAGGTGATCATCGAGGAAGAACAATCAGGCAGGGTGAGGAGGATATGCAGTGATGGGTAGGAGGGAAGTGATTGAGGTATGCAGATAAAAGGTGGCGTTGCAGCGGAGGCCTTCAGAAAGGAAGGGGATGGCCCTGTGGATGGATGGGGGAGGGTATTCCCGTAGAAGAAACAGGACAGTGGAAGAGATAGATAAGTAAACAGATGATGACAAACCAGCAGAATAAATACTGTGACAGGGGAAACACGGATAGAGGCTTAAAAAGAGGAGGCCTGGGACCCCGAATTGGCTTCCTGGAGAAGGTGATATCAGACAGGGATGGGATGGGGGAGAAGAGCATGTTTTGGGCAGAGGGGATGGGATATATCAACACCCAGAGGTAGAGGACCAAATATCTGGTTCTTTTTAAGAACCAGAAAGATGATCGGTATAGCCAGGGTTCAGACAATGGGTGGGCGTGGAGGGTTGGGAGGGAAGAGATGAGGTTCGAGATGATGCTGGAGGGGATGCTGCCAGCGGCTGCACCATGCAGACCAAGTTCTTCCAGCCAAGGAGTCGGACTGAATTTAAGATTTAGTTGTAAGGCTATGGCCTCTGGGGAGTGGTGAGGGTACGCGGGGCCTCTTTGTACTATTTTTGTAACTGCCTGTAGTCTATAATTATTTTAAAATAAAGATCAAAAATAAAAAAGCAGTAAGATGTCTCTATAGAATTTGAAAGGCCTTTTCTTAAGGTCTAAATAAATTAAAAATAAATATCCACCTCATTCCCAAATTAACCAGTTAGTTAATTCAATAAACACATATCGGCACCTATATGTACCAGGCACCGTCTTACATGCTGGAGACACAGAGGTGCCTAAGACAGACTGACGACAACTCCCCATCATGGAGCTACATTCTAGTGAGGCAGACCAACGATATGAAAACTCATAATATTTAAAATAGGACCAATTTAAATAACGAGAGTGTTCCGAAGAAAAGAAACCTTAAACAATACTTACCTGGATTTCGAGAAACAACTGTGGGCCTCCTTTCTAAGTCTGAAAACAAGTTATTCAGTTTCTGGATGGTTCTTCGCAGAAATATGCAAATTGCCCTGGAGAAGCAAACCAGAAAAACCAGCCTGTTGGAGTCACAGGGTGTGGGACCTGGGGGAGGCCTATGGGAGACAGGGATTGGGTTACCCAGGCTCAGGGAGTCTGGCTACTACTGGCATTCCTCTGGGCCTTTGCCTCCACGGCACCTGAGACGCCCGTCTGAGCAGTGCAGCAGGCAGCTACTGTTCACTGAGCACAGCCCTGGCACTTTGCACGGACCGTCTGCTCCAGCTCCTCATACCCTGCGCCGTGGTGGTTGTGCCGGCTGCTGGGTTAGCCTGGCAGTGGAGGGCAGGCCCTGGATCTCCTCCATCTCTGTATCCAGGTGCCCAACCGCTTACCTGCTACAGAGCGAGCGCTCAGAAAATGCTTGTTACACGAACTAGTTTTTAGGCCTAAGTAAGAGCTAGGTTTCCTGGGTGCTTTCTTGCCCTACAGGTACTCCTATTCTTACACTCCCATCATCGGACTGAGGAAGGGAGATGGAACAAGGGCCAAGCATCTGAAATTACCCAGAGCCCCAAACCTAGGGTCTCCTGGAACTTCAAATAACCTGAGCTTCATCCTAATCTCTTTTCCACGCTAAAGAACTAGAATATTATTCTCACCTCTGTAGGACTCTGTAGTAGAGCTTTTCATAAATTATCAGTGATAACACCCTGGATGTCATCTTCCTATGGGACATGAGAATGTGCCTGTACCATGCCTACAAACTAGGGGATTCAAGACACTGGTCTAACCATGCTGAAAAGATGCAGACAAGAAAACTGGCTGGAAGAACAGCCTCCAAAATGTCCTCTGAACGGTGAGATGCCAGAAACTTTTCTGGATTTCCCCAATTTTCTGCCATAAATAAGCACTGCTTTTGAACTTGGAAGTTATTTTGTTTATGTCTTTACCCATAGAGAAGGGACTGTTGGGACTTGCTTCAGGACGGTGACAGTGGCTATCGCTAAGTAAGGGGGGAAGGTTAGATTCTGAACGATTTTATTTTTTTTCCTTATATGCTTCTGTTTTATGAATTTTCAATAATGAGTATGTATTGATTTTAGGACCATAAAAATTTAGATGCGATTTTAAATTATAATATGGGGTGTTGCTGCCAGCTCATACTGGCCAATGAGAAGTGATTCTATGCATTTCTTCCCAACTCTGCATTCAGCGATGCTGGTGGCCTGAAACGGGCCACCGAGGGAGCAGTCACACCACAGACATTGGCAAGCGCTACAAACGAGGGATTTTATTTTCTGGAGAGGTGGTTAACACCATGCCACTGGATATATAGTACGATTCCAGTCATGTTTTTAAAAAATGTTTCACAGAGCAAGAAGATCAGAAGGAAGTACATCAAAATATTAACGATCATTGTCTCTCCGTAGTGGGGCTGTGAGACCAGAAGTAACTGGTTCTTTCTATTTTTCTGTATTTTTAACATTTTTAGTCTTGAGCTTCTATAATAGAAAAAACAACTTGAATTAAAAACAAAAATTCTGCTCTTGATCCCTAGAAGGGGAACGTTTTATCTCAGAAAGCCCTGGCCCCTTGTGACCCAGTCAAGCTCGGAAAGCTGAGGTCACAGTTAAGTCCCGTTCCTTTGAACCAACAAAATGGACAAGGGTTGGTATGGCAGACAGAGGAATTTTTCGCTTTCCATGAAGGTGGGATGATTTCAACTCTATTGACTGTCCAGTTGGATGGGCTGAGCCCCAAACTATTCCAGCTGAGGGAGTGTGGTGGCAGCTGGAGGCGGGGGGAGGCGGGCATGTGCCACCTGAACTGTGTATGCCGGTCCTCAGAGGCCTCTGACCCTTGGTCTGATTAGGGATCAGGATTCAGTCCAAAGTTGAACTGAGATTCTTAAGTGTGTCTGAGAAACTAGGCTGATTCCAAGATAGCGTGCTGGATTCCAGCAGGGAGAAAAGGCCTTGCTGCTCGGGGCCAGCAGTGTCTCTGTGCCCTGGGGCCAGCTACTGTGCACAGAGCTGGTCTAGCAGCACCCAGGGCTTAGGAGGCCACTGATGGATAGAGTAGCTCCTGGCTCCCAGGGGTCTCCTGCGGGGCTTGACCCTACCCAGACCCTGTGAAGATACCCTGGCCTGCCCTTAACCCAGAAGAGACTTTCAGGAAAACATGTACATAATGAGAACAGCAGGGAGAACACTCGCCCATGGCCGGACTGCAAACAGATATAGGATGGAGTGGGACCTAGTTTTGATACTCTACGACTGCGATTTTTGTCTAGCCAGTCGCATGTCCATCACCAAAGAAAACGCTGGCTGAGTTATTTTTGGCAGTAGCGGGGGTAGATGGTCATTCCACAAATGACCACCCTCAGTCTGCAAGCACTCACAGTCGGCGCTCAACCGGTATTATCGGCTAACGCCAGAAACGTGGGATTTCTCAGGGAGATGAAAAATTCCAGTCAGCACTGAGGGGAAACTCAACTATGGTCAATATCGTCCTTGAAAATCTTTTAAATCATCCTTAAAACCCCATGACCCGGGCCTTTAGAAGATCACACACAAAAATGGACTTTTGTTTCTCTTACGCATCAGCCAGCTGTGGCCTTTTCTCACTTAGAGCAGTCAGTGAAGGCCAAGGTCAAACTTATGTGCCTCTGTGTGTGTGTGTGCGTGTGCGTGTGTGTGTGTGCGCGCGTGTGCGCACGCGCATGGTGTTCTCTTTCTCTCTCCCTCTTTTCTGGTTAACTGGTCCCAGTTGCGTTTTTAAATGAGTCAGCAGCTCAGTAAAATGAGCATCGCTACTAGAGAGGTAGTTACAGTGTCTTGGGAAGACTAAGGACTAATTGTTCCAGAGCCAAGGAGAAGGAAGAGCATCTGGCCAAAGAAAACCTTTACAACAAATAGAGCTACTGCACAGTTAGACCAGAAACTCAGAAGATTGTAGATCAAAGTTCACACACACACACACACACACACACACACACACACACACACACACACACACTCTTGATATGGTCCTAGAAGGGAGGATTCTAGGCAGGCCTCGTTGCCTCCCCGCTCCCCCTTCCAGCATTTTTGGAGAGAAACCATTCACTTTATACCTCGATCTGGAAGTTCAATTGGAAGCCAGTGGTAAATGCAGCATCTCAGGAGGTCTCCATGGCAACAGTTCCAACAGAGAAGAACCCAGAAAGTTTTGGACAATCCCACTACAGACCAGAAGAAAAAAAAGGATGTTAACACAGAGAGAAAGCGGGGTGATGGGGTGGGGTGGGGTGTGGTGACAGTATGCTGTGCCATCGGGGTGGATACCCAGGCTCTATGGCGTTTTGTCCGCATTTATCTTTGTGACCTTCCTCCCCTACTCACACCCTAGTACAAGCTGCTGTCATCTCTCCAGCAGGAACCTCCTCACCAGTCTCCCGCTTCTTTCTGCCCTCGCCCCGAGCCATCCAGCACACAGTGTCTAGGCAGCTCCATCTCGAACTGAAGTCAGATCATGTCCCTTCTCTGCGCCAAACCTCCAATGACTCCCTCCTTACAGTCATGGTCCTTACAGTGGTGACTGGGCTGCGTGTCACCTGCCTTCTTCCTCCTTTCCCCTTCACTCATTCTGCTCCAGCCAGCCACACCATCCCTCTGCTGCTCCTGGATGCCACCAGGCACGTTCCCACCTCAAGACCCTTGTCTTGGGTATTCCCTCTGTGCTGGGAAGACTCTTCCCCCAGATAACCGCATGGCCAGTTCCTTTCCTTCCCTCTGGTCTTGCTCAAATCTCACAGCTGAGGGAAGACACCCTGCCCCAGACTCTCATCCCCATTCCCTTTACCTTGCTGCTCTGCCTGGGTCTTAGCCCAAAGGCAGCCATCTTAACTATGATGCTACACTGCTTCTCTTTGGTCTAGCTTATAAACTGAAGTGGCCAAAAAGATTCGAAACAACTTGAAAACCACCAAATTAGATGAATCTCACTAGCTTCCACTTCTCCACAGGCTAACACCTCATTTTTCGGCCAGCTTCAAGCACCTCTAGAAATGTCCTAACCTGCCTTTCCACCTTTATTTTTCCCTACTTCCCTTCTGCCAGCCAGCCTTCGGCTCAACTGGACTATCGCTGTTTCTGGCCCATGCTGGGTTTCCCACCTCGGGCCTCAGCTTGCACTGTTTTTTCTTGGTGTGGGTCCCCATGTCCGAATGCTGCTCCGTTTCAAAAGCACAGTTTAAAAATAAAATCGGTAAGGATATCCTGTGGGCTTATTCTCGTGATCCCATTTCAGCCTCATACTAACCTTATGAGGAAGAACATCACTCTCCCCCGTTTCACAGATGAGAACCCCACAGCAGTGAAGGCTACACAGTTGGCAAATGGTAGTACCAGGATGCACCCCGGAGGCCTGTGTGACTTCAAACCCAGGTTCATTTCAACTTCACTAAAGGGGATCAGGGACTACCATGAGTTTTCCTACATCCGTCCAACTAAAGTGTGGCCTGCCACCTCCGAAGCCCCTCACCTCCTCTTGGGTATAACAGCTGGTTGCTTCTGTGCCTGTCCCCACTGCTGGGAGGATCAGGGTGGCAGTGGATGATGCTCAGGAGATCAGTGCTTCCCCGGCAGAGCTCCCTCAGTTATTCATTCAGGTCTAAAACAGCAAGCACCATCACTCCCCGCTCCCACCAGAACCCACGTGACTTTTCGTTATGGAATTTGCCGCCATCTGACAATAGATTACAGGCTTGTTTTTGGTCTGTCTCCCTCATTCGGGAAAGCTCCATGAAGCCAGGGGCTTTTGTGTCACATTCCTTGGTATATCCTAGAACGGTGCCTGGCAGAGTAGGTGAAAGAATGAATGACTTTGGTGTTATTTTTTGATGAAGGATAATACAGTTTTATATAAAGTGAGGTCCCCATATTTGCTCAAGAGCTATCCCCAAAGGTGGATTTCATTACTGAGAACCTCCAGGCAGACCTGGACTAGTCTTGGCAGGTATGGGGGTTACAGTCTGGATGGCTGTAATTAATCCCAGTGATGAATGTATAATTCCACCTGAGCTAAACCTCTCATGTACCTGGGGATGTCTTATGGCCTGGGTACTTGGAATGCAAGTCTATGTTGGGCTCATATTTGAAAGATGAGGTGTTAACCTGGGAGGAGGGAGATGAGGGAGGAGGAGTAGTCTCCAAGAGCATGTGCAAAGGCCTTGGGGAGGGGCAGTGTGCCTCAAGCACGTGGGCCATTAATTAAGTGGTCTGAGCTGGGCTGGAGGAGGAGGACCGGCATTGGTGGGACCCAGATTCTGCAGGGCCTTGTGGTCCACGTTAAGGTTTTTGTTCTTTAACCTAATGAAATTGGAAGCTACAGCAGGGTTTTAAGCAGAGGGTGATACAATCAGATAAGTCTGCCTGCCAAGTGGAGTGTGGCTGAGTGGAAAGTGGGTTGGGTCCCCCCTCCAGCCCCTTTCTGTCTGCTGTAACACATCCAAGGCAGCGGGCCCCCACTTCATCTGTGGCCCCAGTGTATAACATACAGTAGTGTTTACAAAACATTCAGGTCATAGAGGACATGGTGATAAACCACCTAATGACATTTCTCAGGTCTCACATGTGAGGGCCCAAGTGGCTGATCCAACCACTGCAGCCCGGTGGTAACCAGTGCAGGGAGAGAAATTCTCCAGGCTCCGACCTTGAAAAACTTCACATGCTGAACTAGGGCAACCGAGTCAGTCAACGGTGTGCATCTAACTGCTCCTGGTCCTTAGGTCTAAAAAGCCAAAGGGTTCCGAGAGTGGCAGACCGGGCACAGGGCCCTTTGTGGCTTCAGCTCCTTTGATCCTCATGACAACCTTGGGGACAGGTATTTTACAAATGAAGAAACTGTCCAAACCATTCAGTTAGGAAGCTGCAAAGCTAGGACCTGAGCTCCCATCTGTCTGATGCTGCTCACATGACTGCCAGGGTTGGAAAAGCTGAAATGCTGACTGATGTGAGCATTCCACTGCCTGAGCCTCCGAGCCTGGATCTCGGCCACCTCCATGGCTGCCTCTTACGTTTCTTTTCTAAGAGCAGTAATAGGTTATCAACAGAGTTACTAGAGCCTCGAAATAAACACACCCTTGCTTACAGCTGATTTGACAAGGCCTCTGACACAGGCCACATTTTGGATTGTATTTTATCATTTATGAAGCATTTTGACATAGCATCATCAACATTATGAAGTATTATGGCCCCCACTGTATGATAGGAAAACAGAGGCCCAGAGAGGTGGAGTGACAAGATCACACAGCTGGGAAGTGGCAGAGCCTGGTTTCCAGGCTCTAAGATTAGTTTAGAGTTTCCTTTGGACCACTCCCTAGCCACCTGCTCCCCCTCCACAATTGGGGAGTTGGTGACAAAAGCTCAGGCCGGCAGAGCATCTCCGACAAGCAAGGCTCAGGGGGCTCGAGGCTGTGAGGTTTGGTCTGTCTTTGCCCCCTTTACATACCTCACAGGTTGGGAAGATTCCAGCGGTCTCTCCTCCCTGCTCAGCCCTCCCCAGCCCCACCCACCATCCCTCACTGAAGGGCAGGGTTTTATTCCACTCTCTGACGTAAATGCCCAAGGGCGGCACTTGTCTTGTTTACTGCTGTACCCTCGGTGCCCAAACAATCACATACTGGTGCACAGTAGGTGCTCAGTAATTATCTGTTGAGTAGACAAGTGGATGCCCTTAAAGCTTAAAGGGGTGTCATGTTTTCTGCCGTGAAATGGACACTAACCTGCCAACTCCTCCTTCCTGTTGGTCAGTAGTCTCTAGGCCAAGACTCTGGCTCTAGCCGGGCTGTGCTCAGGTCTCCCTGTGTGACCCGAGGGCATGCCAGCGCAGGGCAGAGAAAGGACACTGTCAAGGTCTCCTCTGTGCCAGGCATTGACTGGGTCAGGGACGCGGTGGGGTAACGCAGGTTCTTATCCTGTTCTCCTTCCTTGCAGTATGGTCTTGGGGAAATCACATCTCTCCCAGCCTCAGTTTATCTAGCTGCAAAATCCACTCTAAAGATTGTAACAGAAATTCTTCCCTCTGTTAAAAACAGTGGCTGTTGGAGACATAGCCCGCCTGCAATACCGTGGGCTTGAGTTTTTCTCTAGAACTTATTCCCAACCTCCCTCAATTTGAGTGTCTGCTGTGAGTCGGGAGGCTGTAAGGAGAGGGAGTGAGGGGTCCCTGAGGCCTTCCCCACTGGTGTGTGCTGGTGCTCGCAGGGCCTGCACTGGACCAGGGGAAGCCCTGTGACCCCAGCTGACCTCAGGGAAGTCCCTTCTCCTCCTCCCCGCACTAGAGCAGAGTCCTCGCTTATCAGGGGAGGGGCTGGGTGATCTCTAAGGACTTGGAGCTCTGAGCTGGGAGGCTCGAGACGCCTGAGTACTCTGCCTGGCCTCAGTTTCCCTAGCTGCCGCCCCACGTGATTCTAAGGTCACTTCCGTCTACGAAAGAAAACAAGTAACAACCAGACAGCCTTGGCTCCGGGGCTGGGGGAACCCGCGGCTACTCCGAGTGGGTTCGGCGCCCACGAGGGGCGCAGGGCAAAGGCCCCGCGGGGCCAGGCGGCGGGAGCTCGGGCGTGAGGCCG